TTGTTATTTTTTCTCTCTGAGTTTTTTTTAAATAAAAAAACAACAACAAAAAAAAAAAACCCTTTTCGATTATTGTTTTTGCAGAATCATGAACCAGAACTCACTCAGCACTGACCAGGAGCTTCGCCCTGGAGAGTCTCTGATGAGTCTGAATGGAAATTACAAAGCCATCCTCCAGGTAAGGAAAGAATTATTTTTTATTCTTTATCTGTATGTATATATATACAGTATATATATATCTGTATGTATATATATACAGTATTTATACACTGTATATTTATACACTATATATATATATATATATAGTGTATAAATATACAGTGTATAAATACTGTATATATATACATACAGATATATATATACTGTATATATATACATACAGATAAAGAATAAAAAATAATTGTTTCCTTACCTGGAGGATGGCTTTGTAATTTCCATTCAGACTCATCAGAGACTCTCCAGGGCGAAGCTCCTGGTCAGTGCTGAGTGAGTTCTGGTTCATGATTCTGCAAAAACAATAATCGAAAAGGGTTTTTTTGTTGTTGTTTTTTTTATTTAAAAAAACTCAGAGAGAAAAAATAACAAGCAAAAAACTGCTTTTAATTACAGAGAAACTCCTGTGTGAAATGTTGACAGAGGCTGAAGTGAGGGAGTATAAAGGATGCAGTACTTACTAATGAGAGAGCAGGTGGAGAGTGAACCTTACCTTGTGTCTGTGAGCCTTGAGCTGCGTACCTCTGAGGAATAGCTGCAGTGTCTTCTCCATCAAACCAGCCACCTTATATACAGTAAGAGTTGGACAAGACGGCGGCACAGCCACCCCCATTACATCAATGACTCACAGATAATCCTGCTCTTACCTGTTGAAAATCACACTCAGAAGAAGAACAGGTTTACCCACGCAAGGATAGGATGTCTTACCAAAATTGTCCCGCAAACCAAGAAAAGATGAAGCACAAGCTCCGTCATGTCGGTTCATTGTAAATTTCGATCCATCTATACATTCTGGGTTGCGGGGGCAGCAGTCTCCACCCAAATCACACTGCACCGTACCAACCGCCCTAACCAGGATTCCATCTTGCCCAGGAGGTGAACCCTGGAGTTCCACATAAATGACAGAGACATCACCTCTGGGCCAAAGTGCCACCATTATAATTTTTTCAAAAATAATTTTTTTGAAGACCATTTGTCCGTCCCTTGTTCCAAATTCAATGTTTAAACAAAACTGTTTGTTTCCATATTAAAAAAATCTATATTACATATCTGGAGAGAAGGGAAAACATGCACACTTTTTCAATAAATATTGACCATCGGCCAAAGCAGGCACTGCGGTCTTTTTTTTAAAAAACAGATTAATACATTTAATCAAAGGTGCTTTTTTTAATGCAGAATGAACGACTAGTGACCCTGAACCCACCGTTTTATTTACAGCCTAGCCTTTCCTGTCTACTCCACCTCCTGCCATAAAATGATGCATAATGACAAATGCTGACACTGATTTATCGTTCTGTTTAGACCTGTCCTGTGCAATTTCTGTTTTGTAGGACTTTGAACAGTTGGACGATTTTTGTCGTGAGAACAAACATTTTAAAAAGTTCTCAGGGAAAAACCGCAGATGTAGCTGGGGTGACATTTAGAAAATGTCAGTAGTCAAATCAGTCGTCAGTCAATCAGTCAGCTGTTCGAACATGTAACTCGAGATATAACTGGCACACCAATCTTCACCAAAAGAACTGGTTTTCAAAAGGTCTGTTGTGTAACAGAAGTTTAATGTGCCTAGAAATGCTTGTGGTTGCAGTGCGGGTACTACATACCGACAGTTGTGTTCAAATACATTCAACCCCCAATGTTGTAAAGGGGAATCAATATATATTTGTAATAGTGTTCATGATAAAATCTTACAGGGACTTGTAAATTAGCTAAATGCAACTAAAATGACAAAACTAGTCTAAATTGTCTAAAACAGTATCAGATTTCCTTTTTGTGATTTCTTCACTGACACAATTATTCAAACACTTAAAGATTACACAGTGGAAATGCTACCTAGGCGTGGCAGAAGAAGGATCCTGACAGCGACTGCTGTCCGGTACCTGAAGCAAAGTGAAGTCAGTGAAGTGAGTGAAGAAAAAAATCCCAGATTGTCTGGGGGGTCAGTCATGCTTTAGGGTTGTTTTGCTTCTTCAAGTAAATTTCACGCAGTCAGACACAAACCTGAGACGTCCGTCTCCATGTTGGACCTCCCGACAGGGCAACAATCCCAAGCACACCTCCAAATCTACCAGAGCTTGGCTGCAGACGAAGGGCTGGAACATTCTGGAGTGGCCATTGCAAAGACCTGACTTAAAGGAATGGGCTAAGATACCTGTAGATCACTGCAACAAACTCGTGTCGAGCTTTGTTGCAAACACAGAAAGGACATTTGTCGGTATATCACCAGAAATATTGTTGTAATTTCAGATGCATCTGTCTAGTTTACTGGTCCTTCTTTGATCTGATTACAAAATAGATAAGAAATAAATGTCGA